CCCGCCCCGTCCCCTCCTCCCCGTCCCCGCCTCCGGCCGCCCACTCACTCCGTCCCGCCGAGGCCTCTGGCTCCAGCCTGTGTCTCGGTCCCAGGGTCCTCGTTCTCGCCTGTCTATCGACCCACCCTCTTGATCTGCAGCTTCCCCCACCCAGCCCCCTCTGGCTCCGCAGACTCGAGCCCGGCCGGGGCCTCCCGCTGTCCCGCAGATGGACAAAGGCCAGCAGGACGGAGGCGGGCGGGGGGGGGATAGGTCCATCCCCTTCTCCACCACACACACTTGGGAAGCAGGACCTGGCTTCTGGCGGGCCCCCCCCCCAAACTCTTGCTTGCTTAGGGGTGGCCTTGCTTGCTCCCTGCACAGTATCTGGCATGCGGGTGTGGCGGGGCAGAATGTTCTAAGGGGCAGCGACCAACCTCGAAGCTGTCAGGATGTCCCTGGATGGGGGCTGAGGCTAGAAGTGAAAAGGGGGTGCCCTGCTCCAGGGCCGGTATTGGCAGGCGCGCGGAGCCTTCCTGCCCGCAGCCCTTGCTCAGGCCAACGACTCCTCACCTGCCGGGCCCAGCTGTGAAGTCCCTCCCTTGTGGGCCCTCTTTGCCCAGGCTTCGCCAGCACTTTATTCATGCCTTATTTCTGCCGCTTTGCTGCTCACACTGGAATCAGTGGTTCCATTAGCCTCGGTCTTCCCCCAAAGGCCATTTGTCCCAAACTTCCTAGGCCAGAAGCCGTCTATCTTCTGCACACCTCTCTGCTTCTGGTTTAGCTGGGATTGGGAGGAGCCTCAATTCCCTGGAGTTGAATTCGTTTATGGCAGCTGTAACAAAGTCACCACAAACCTAGTGACTTAAAACAACACTTAAAACAACACATCTCTGGAGGTCGGAAGTCCGGATGGGTCTTGCAGGGCAAAAATCAAGGTGCTGGCAGGGCTCTGTTCCTTCTGCAGGCTCTGGGGTGGGGATGCGGGGCTGTGGGGGGGATGGATCCATTCCTTGCCTTTCCAGCTTCCAAAGGTTGCCTGCCTTCCTCGGCTCCTGGCTGCATCACTCTGACCTCTGGATCATCATCACATCTTCTCTAGTTCTGACCCTTCTCTCTTCCTCTTAAAAGGACCCCTGTGATTTCATGGGGCCCACCTGGTCATTCAGGATAACCTCCCCATCTCCAGATCCTTGATTTCATCACATCTCAAGTCCCTTTTGCCAGGTAAGGTATCATATTTACAAGTTTTGGGGGTTAGGATGTGGGTATCTTTGGGAGGCCAGTAGTCAGCACACCACAGGGCTATTGTTTCCATTAGCTTCTACTGAGTCCCTCTTCTCCATCCTGCCTCCCACCTCCTGCTGGGCAGCAGGCTTTCTTAAAACATCTTGGTTTGATCTGACTTCTCAGCCACATTTTATGATTACAATAGTCCCATTCCAGTCCTGAAGGCATGGTCTGGTCCATTTTAAACTTCAACCTTGTGTTTAACTAAAAACTCCCCTCCCCCTCTAGGTCCAGCTGGACAAGTGGAGAGGTCGGGTGGACTGGTCCTTCCAGTCTTCCTCTGCTCCCTCACGGATGAGGAGAGAAAAGGGGGCGGGAACAGGTATCAGACATCCCCTCACCTATCTGCCCACCTGGAAGCTGCAGGCCTCTTTCTGTTGGTTTGAACAACTGTCTCGCCTGCGGTTATAAGCTTCGTACAGACAGGTGCTGGTCCTACTAAGGCAAGGTTCAAACCCTGCCGCCGGCTTGAGCCTCTGGCTGAAGCCTGCTGGAGGCACCATTCCTTTCTCCTCCCATGTGCTGCCTCTTTGCCCCACATGGCAGTGGTCCTGGGAAAGCCTGCAGCTTCCAACCTTGCCTGTGCCCTGAAGACTGGAGCCACCAGCAGGAACCTATTTCCATACCTTTTAAGGATCAGGATCCTGAGGGAGCAGGTCAGCAAGTCTAGAGAATTTAGTAAAGTTCTCAATATCACTGTCTTTACTGAAATCCTTCTATTACTCAGTCTTCTCAGTGGACAAGAAAAGATACATCTTTATCCCCAGCATAGAGTTGGGCACATAGTAGGTGGTTTATATTCCATGATGTACTTATGCAATAGCGTAGATTAATAAATGAATATTCAGCATAATAGATAAGGATGCCCCCCCCCATTGGGGCTTCTCTTCAACACTGAACTGAAGATCCCAGCCAATGCAATAAGGCAAGAAAGGATGGGTACAAAGATTGAAAAGAGAAAAACTGTCATTTGCAAATAATGTAATTGTCTACCTAGAAAATCCAAGAGACTCAACAGTGTAGTATTGGATACCTACTGCGTGGTAGGCCCTTTCTGGAAACTAAATATGAGATGGAGGAGCAGCCCTTGTTCTCGGTGAGCTCCCAGGGAGGTTGGGGAGCTGAGGCCAGCAATCCTCAGGGCAGGGTCCCCTGCAAAAGAAGGAATCCAAGAGGTCCATAAACTTGGATGGGAAAACAATTACATCTTTATCTCCATTAACCGTTAACTGAAATTTAGCATTTTTTTTTTCAGTTATGAATGTAGGCAACAAACCATGGCCGTATTAGCAGTACCCATGACTTCGTCATCAGTCAAAGTCATTAATGTTTTCAGGTCACAATATGGTATTTGTAAATATCTCAAAATATAACTTATACTCAAAAGCTCACCACTACTTCAACGTGACGTAGTTACTGAACCAGCTCTTAATTCTTAGTTTTATATGTTCGCAAAGAATTTCACCTATTACTTCACTACGATTTAAAAAATAATAGCTGCATTTCAAGATAACTGGTGTCCTTTGTAATAGGATGCATTCTAGTTCATGCATTTGAAACATTCTGATAAGAGGACCCCTGTTACAAGACGGATTAGGAACTCCTGCTGTAGAGGAAGGACTTGCTCTCTGGTTTGGGCAATACTCGCATGGTTCTCTTGCACAAGGGACCCTCCCCCTAACCCCCACCCACATTGGTCACATTTCTTATCAAAGAGCAAGCCCAGCTTGTTTCAGTATGTGTCAGTCCTTGTTCTAGGAGCTTTCTGGATGTCCCGCCTTTGAATGTCATGGAGCATTCTGGGGAAGCTCTAAGCGTAGCCCTTGGGTCTGGGCCTACTTGTGCCTAGAACAGCTGGCACCAGGCTAGGGCAGCGGCTAATTCTGGGCTTTGCCCAGTGGGAAGAGATAGGGCTGCCTCTGCTGATTTTGCTTCCTCCAGGGCAGTGTTTTCAGCTGTTGCAGTTGACCACTTCCCTTCCTAAAGCGAAAGCCAGGTCTGGCTCTAGGAGAACGTGCAAAGACGGAAAGGAGAAGAGAGAAGTAGATCTCAGCCAGGGCTGTTTGAATTTCCCAGAGTTGCGTCTGCCGTCTGAGTCCAGAGGCTCCTTTCCCAGCATGTAAGAGTCATCTACGGCAGTGACAGCCACACAAGGTCATCTGCACAAGGCTGAGTCGTGTACCTCTGTGTGATAATGTAGCTCATTCAAAGGTCACAGCTAACTCTGACCCCTCCCCCTTCCCTGATACTCAGCTCAAACTTCTGCTCCATGGTTCAGAATCACGCGGAAGAGTAGAAAACACATCGGAGGTGGCATCAGCGACACTTGCTTTTAGATCCTGCCTCCATCTCTTCCCTTGCTAGCTGGCTGATCTCTCATTGACTTAGCAAATAATTTCTGAGTGCCAGCCATGAGTTGGCACTGAGGACACAGAGGTGAATGGGACAGACAGGTCTCACCGCCTCTCATCGAACTTCCTCTCTACAAAGACCGAATGATGGTATTATGAAAGAAATGACCAGGAGGTTACGGCAGAGAACGGTGGTGTGGGTAGAGATGAGGCCCTACCAAGGTAGGGTGGTCAGGGAAGGCTTCTGCGACACTTATTACTAAAAGCTGATGTAGAGCCGACCATAAAAAGGAGAAAACCTTCTAAACGGAGAGAACAGTATGTGTAAAGGGCCTGAGGTGGGAGAAGCCTTGGCCTGGTGAGAAACCGAAAGGAGGCCAGCATTACAGAGACGTGATGGGAAGGGAAGAGAGTGGTGAGGAGTAAGGCCAGAGAGCAAGGCAGAGGCCAACAGGAGGGGCTGGAGTTCGTGCAAAAGCACGGGGCTTGGGAATTTTAAGCAAGGGAAGGGTCACCGTTTTCTTTGGCGGGGGCGGCGAGTATGGTAAAATGCACATGTTATCATTTTAACCATTATACAGTGTACAGTCGGTGACATTTAGTATATTCATACTGATGTGCAACCTTTACCAATACTCAGTTAAAGAACTTTTCCATCATCTCAAAAGGACACTTCATACCCTTAAGCAGGTATAATCCCCATTCCTGCCCTAAGCACCCACTCATCTGCTTTCTGTCTCCACGGATTTGCCTCTTCTGGGAGTTTCATATAAATGGGAGTAGACAACATGTGGCCTTTTGTGACTGGCCTATTATACTCAGCATATTTTCGAGGTTCATCCATGTCATAGCATCGAATCATTCCTGTCATAACTGAAAACACTGCTGCATGGACAGACCACATTTTGTTTGTCCTTTCATCCTGTGACATAGTTTGATTTTCCAAAGATATAACTTTGGTTGCTCGGTGGGGGCTGGGTTGTAGGGAAGGCAAAAACGGGAGTGCAGG